CAAAACTTAAAAGAAATGAATTTATATTTTTAAATGCAAAAGTAAGTAATAATATTAGGGTTTACATTCCTTACACAATAAATTAAAACGCCTAATAGGACTACGAAAATGTCCCTACTACAGCGGCTTGTAAAGAGAAGCAAATAAATGATTTAAAAAATTAAATAAATATCTTAGGGATTAACCTCCGCTAGCTCTTGAAGGGATCTGAGAGGTAAACTACTCACAACTTTCTTGTTGATCAGGTGATGGGTGTGTTCCTCTTTGTTCTTTAAATAGACCAAGATATCATCAATGAATACGATGACGAACTAGTTCAGAAACTGCCTAAAAGCTCTGTTAATCAAGTCCATAAAAATGATTGGCGTATTGGTTAACCCAAATAGCATGACCATAAACTCATAGCGTCTGTACCTGGTTCTGAAGGCTGTCTTAAGAATGTCATCTGCCCTAATTTTTACCTGATGGTAACCTAAACATAAGTCTATCTTGGGAAAAAACTGTGCACCTTATAACTGGTAAAAAAAGTTGTCAATTTTGGAGAGTGGGTACTTGTTCTTGATTGTGACTCTGTTCAATCCCCTATAGCCGATATATAATCTAAAGGTCCCATCCCCTTTTCTTTGCAAACGTGATGCAAGTACCCTAATGAGATATAATGTGTCGAATGAACCCACTATCATGCAATTCTTTGATCTATTTTCTTAGTTTTTTCATCTCTACATGACTTATGCAGTAAGGGACAACTGAGATAGACTTGGTGTCAAACTGAAGGTTTATGGTGAACTCAACTTCCCTGTTTACTGGTAGTTTGAGTAGTTTATCAGGGAACACCTCCGGGAAGTTTCGGACTACAAAGATCTCTTGAATACAAACTTTTTTCTTGGGTTTGCTTTGTATAGCGTCCAGGTTGACTTTAGCATCCTGATGGGTGAGGTTGTAAGCTCTATCATAAATAGGATGTCTTGCCTGATTCTGATTTCGCGGGCACTGTCTCGCGTAATGTTGGGCACTCCCACATATGCAGCATGTATTGTTTAGACGATAGCAGAGTCGATCCCTATGATCTTTGCTAAAGTGCTGGCGAGTCCTAACATGCCCTATTACTGGAACCTGAGGAGGAGACTGAGTTTCTGGCCTCTGCCTCTTGTTCTGTTGAATCGGTACAGTGGGTGCTGGTCTGCAGTGTAAAATCGGGTTCTGTGACTTCCCACTGTTGAAGGAAAAATACGAAGGTTCCTCTCTACTAGTTGTGCATTGGCCAAAACGGTTGAATAGGTACTAAGTTTAAATACGTATAGTTGTTGTCTGATATCAGGGCAGAAGCTACATTCGAACTTTCTTACCTTTTTGCCTTCATCCATTATACTCTCAAGAGAATACTGGCCAAACTCTATGAATTTTTTAGCATACTCTAACACAGTCATATTACCCTGTATTAGGTGTGCAAACTCTATTTTCTTCAAATGTTAAAGGTGCTCTGAGAGGTACTTTACATTTAAGGCTATTGGGAACTGTTCCCAAGTTATTGGAATGGGCAAGGTGGCTTGCTTAAGCTGTCACTAGCGACCTACCTCTCCGACGAGTATGTAAGTAGCAAGTATCACCTTCTATTTAGGAACTACTCCAAGAGTCGTGAAGACATTCTTTGTCTCAGCTAACCAATACTCGACCTCTTTGAAAGAGCATTGCCCTATAAAGATGGATGGTTTTAGTTTTTTTATACTTTTCAAGGTAGTCTGGGTCCATCATGGGTGGAATGGGATCCATTGAGAGAGCGACTGGATTGTGCTGGAGAGGGGTCGGGTGGCTCTGTGGCGACACTTGGTTATATTGTGGGGGCACCAGATTATATTGCGACGGTGCCGGATAATATGGTGGAGGAGCAAGGCTGTACCAGGGTAGCACTTGATCTTCTTGCTGCAAGGGTGGCTCAAACTGTGGTAGCAGTTGAGGGTCAGATGTCAGCTTGCCTGCCATGCGGTGTGCTCTGGTTCGCTCGAGTTGCTAACTGGGGCGTCCCACGTGGCCCAAATTTTTTCCTCTGAAATTTAGCCCCCTGTTTTTAATTTTTTTTTCAAAAACATCCACTAGATCAAAATTTCGCCCATTTTTCCCTTTTTTTTTCAATTTCGTCCATAATCCATTTTTTCTCAAAATTTAACAAAATTAAATTGAAATAAAATTATATTAATTATTTATATAATTTTTATAAATAAAAAGATTATCCTAGGCTGATTTTCATGTCCGAGTATTACAAGATAGCCTCATTGTGATTCATTTTGCAATAAGTGTCTCAATTATGTTGTCTTAATTTAAGTACCATCTCTTTGCATGACTTATTAACGATTGGTAAATATGGGATGTTGATATATAATTGAGAATTAGTTGATAATGTGAATCTATGTATGAAAGTTTATTGGGTATCTTGGGAATGGGTGGATGGACCCGGTACATAGGAAAAATCCTACTACGAACTTTACCTCAGTCGGACGGGTTTGGGAAGTCCTATACCAAAAGAATTTGGGAGATATGATCTACCCTCATACTGGACGGGGTATCGAGACGATGATATATTTGGTGTCCATTATCGGACGGGATATGGGGACGAACGGTTGATTTACAAATTTGGATATACCCCAATGTACCGTTAAGTAGGTGAAAAGGGAAGTTGTTATTTTTGCTCATTTGGAGATGAATTACAATGTTATCTGAGTTATTGTTTTCATAGGTTGATTTTTGGGAACCTATAATGGTAAGTATGGAATAAACAGTTTTATGTTAAATGAATTTACTTAAATCAATGACTACATTAGTTATTTTATAATTTTTACCAACATTCGACTTTCTGTGTAAGTGATTAGTGTGATATTCTTACTGGGTTAATCTAACTCATCCTCCTATTTAATCATTTCATATCAATAAGATTAAGATTCAGATCCTGAACAGTAAAAGAGTTACGAGTAAAGGTTACTTCCCGAACCCTATCAAAGTTGTCAGTGGAGGTTAAGCTCATAGGATTTTAGTTTCATTTCTGTTTCTTTTATTTTAATTTATTTAAAATGGATATTCTCGTAGTCCTATAGGACACTCTTCTTTATTATGTAAGGAATGTAAACCCTAAATTACTATTTGTTTTCACTATTTTAATATATATACATTTTCTTAAAGTTTCGAGCTTTTACACAACGTATTGATATTTTCAAGTAGAATCTCAACTCATATGCATTTTTTGTAATTAAAGAAAACTTTTCTTTTCTATGTATATGCAATTAGTCAAAAATATAAAAAATAATCAAACAAAAAAAACTGTTGACAATGAACTATGAAAGTAACAAAAATAAGCACATTCAAAATTGAACTTCTTGCATTACCCAATATTTGATGC